GGATCCACCACGGGCCCCACCGGGGAGGGGAAGGGGTCTAATTCAATAAAAAATTTCATTAAAATGCGAAGAGTCCGAAAGAACTCCAATCTCCGAGCTACGGAATTAGCATCGAGTCCGAGTGCATCTTCTTGACAATGTAATCGCAGAAGCGGCCTGTAAATTGACGGAGAGGTTGTATTACTCTCAACCCCCTGTCCCCCTTTTTTTCGTTCCAGAGCGGGGGAAATCAGGAAATTCACCTTAAATGGTGCCCGAAAATCTGCCATACTTGACGAGGGTCCCTTAAGAAACACGACTAGTTATTGGAATACCAGAAATACATGACGACCGTTCACTTTGGGGCCAAAAGTATCCATAAAACCCCCGTTGCCCCCCTAAATTGCACTTTTGAGGGTCAAGGCGTTGTAGTCTTTTTCCGTTGTTCGAGAATCGACGATGACTTCCACAGGATACAGCATTTTCGCAAATGAACTGATGAACGTCCGTGCCGATTTTTTCATTGAAAATGTCGTCCTTTGCCACGGGCCCCTTATTTTCCACGTTGACAAAGGAGAAACCCGCGGTAGCAATCGACTCACTTCATGCCTGCAAGTAATTTCCAACTTGACGAAGACCCTTGAAAAGTTATGACCTGTCGGAGGACCACAATCCTGGAACTGCCGCCCACTTTAGAGACAAAATCATCTATAAAACCGCCGCTGCCCCTCTGAATTTCCCGTGTGATTCTCTACAAATTCAAGGTTTTGTAGTCTTATTCCATTGCTCAGAGAATAATCTACGAGAACTGGTCCATCTCCTTAGAGTGAACGGCAGTCCAGGGATTGTGGTTCTTCGACTAGTCGACTCCGACTTATCATGGGTCATCTTCAAGTTGGACATTACTTTAGTCCTTTTCTCTCAGGTCTCACCTTTGTCGGCGTAGAAAATAGGGAAAAGAAATAAGATTTTTCATGTAAAAATGGGCGCGAACGATACTGAGTTTATTTACGAAAGGGCCGTATCCGGCGGAAATCCTCGTCGATTTTCAGAGCAACGGAATAAGACTACCAAACTTTAAATTTGTTGAAAATCAAGAGTGAAATTTATTGGGGCAGCGTGGGTTTTATGGATGATTTCGTCCCTAAGTGGGCGGCAGTCCAGGGATTGCAGTCCTCCGACTAGTCACAACTTTTCAAGGGTCTTCTTCAAGTTTGACATTACTTTTGGGCATCATTTCAGTCTTTTTCTCCCGGGTCTCTCTTTTGTCGGCGTAGAAAACAAGGGGAGATAGGTAGGGTGTCACTTATTTTTGAAATTTGAGGGAAGTTAATAAAATAATAACGTTTTTTAAAAAAAAAATTTTTTACCAACCTCTCAAGCGCCCTAAAGGACGCACGGGTCAAAATTGGTATCTTGACAAAATCAGTGTCGTTTCACTACGGACATCATCCAAATTGCGGTGCTTTAGAAAAATAATTTCCGTTTGGTCGCATCCGTAGCCGGAAAGTCGGCCAGTTGAGTCTGGCCGAAAGAACGGCCAGTTGAGGCGCGGTAACCACCCTCCGACGCGCCTCTTAGACCTTGCAGTGAACTCGAGCCTCTTGCTGCCGACACAGGATTGCGAATAATTCATCCCAGCTGGAAATTAACCTAACCTAACTGTTCGGACCAAAATTTTGGTCATTTCACCGGATCTCTGAGGCTTTGGCCGTAAACTACCATTTTCAGGGGAAAGGTAAATCTGCTTACCGGGCGCGTCTGTGGGTTCGGCTCATTTTAGCATTGTCGACCCAATTTCGCCGGCTATTCCTGAAGCTTACATCTTTCTTTCTCATACAGACAGCTTGACACATGTGTCTAAACCTCTTCTTTTCGTTCTTTTAACGAAAGGATTAGTCTTCTTGAGGGAAAATATCCAAAACCATCGTTGAAGAGTTGCTTACAACCGTTCAGGACACTGTGTAGCCGGAGCTTTCATGTTTCAATCTCATTCTGGTCTTCAGTCCTGATTTTGGACTAGAGAGTTGGGATCATGTTTTTTTTTTTTTTTTTTTTTTTTAATTTATGATATACGAACTAAAGGCGCCCTTTAGGGCGCTTGAGAGATCGATAAAAAAAAATTTAATTTTTTGGGGAAAATTTTCCTTATTTTTTACATCTCACAGCACGTTTTGAGACCTGGGGAGCTGAAATTGTCTCAAATTTCAAAGATAAGGGGCAATGAGGCTGAAATGGGTGGAAATAGGGGGGGGGGCGGCCCTCCACACAATTCTGCTCGGCCCATTCCAAAAAAAATCAAGAGCCTAAGATACTACTTAGTCTTGAGGTAAAAGGCATAGGGAATGTAATAAAACCTAACAGTGTTACGTTTTGAATGAACTAAAACCCACAGTAAGATATGATATGTTTAAAACAAGTCAGCAAAATTTCCGTCATCTGTAATATTTAATTCCATTCAATTTGCCATTGATAATGGCTCAAAAATTTTCTCGAGACGTTCCAATTTTCAAAAATTTGCCGGGGAGGCCTCCCAGTTCCCCCTTACCCCAAATTCTATATCCCCCTGTGTCCCCTCCCACAGAAAATTCCTCGTTCCGCCCATGTAAGGGACACCCTAGGGAGGGGGAGAGATTTGACGAAGTCATTAATATTTTTCCTTCAGATTTTCAGACACTTTTAATCTAATTACAAAGAAAATTCTCCAATAAATTAGAAGAGCAATATTGACAAAAGGACGACGGACCGGTCTTATGGGAAAAGTGGGCCCGGTTAAATCGGCTGGCGTTTTGATATGTTGTAGGTCTTAACCTACTGATCAAAAGTGTCAATGGGCATTTCTCCCTATCTCGAAGTTTTACCCCCCATTTTGGGGGTCAAAGTTGCCAATTCGGCGTATATTTGGCAGTTTTGACACCCGGGTTTATTGGTCGCCTATGAGATTCTTTGATGGTTTCTTGAGTCTT